GAGCGAGTGAGCGAGTGAGCCCACGACTGGTAGCTTCATTCAATAAAGGAAAGGGCCTGGCTGCTGGCTGCACATTTGGGCACGCGCTGCTTATGCGCAAGCGCTGCTGCGACAGCTGCTGGAGTGAGTGCCTACGCGCTCACGGGCGAGCAGGGAGAGCAGGCAGCCATAGCCGAGCATTTTTGGATGGGGCGCATGGTGGTCCTCGGGTGCGCGTGGCATCTGTATGGGGGATCAAGGTTGTGAGTGAAGCGTGAGACACACCTGGTGCTTGAGGCGAACGGCATTGCCCGAGATCTGCTCGTACTTCGGGGAGCTGTTGACGTCACCAGCGGCATTGTAGATAGGCTAGATAATGTCACCAGTGGCATTGTCGATAGGCTAGATAACGTCACCAGTGGCATTGTTGATTGGCTAGATAGGATCTGCCATTCGTAGTCTGGGCGCTCAGATAGGGATTCGACTTTGGTTCATTGTTGATGATGATGAGACTATTCCAACGTTGTCACTTGTGAGCTTTTGCTGTGCTCTTATTTGGTGGAACTCAAGTTGCAATTCTGCTTTTGGTTCGAGGTCAAGAATCTGGTTCCATATGTATGATGTATGATGCTGCTTGGTTTTCTGGAATTCGCTATGTTTTTTTTTTTGTTTTTTTTTTGTGAAACATCAGCTGGAGGAGCTCCTACTGCCTGCTGGGATAAGAGCCCAGGCCCGCAGTAGTGCTGGCTAGCTAGATCCGTTTTCCAGCAGGTCCAATTCCCCAGCAATTGCAGCCATCGCAGAGAGCCTGAGATAGGGGATGCCACTCTTGGAGGCTGGCAGTACTCTTATCACCTCCCATGGTCCGGCCCTTGCCAAAGCTTCAGACTGCTGGGGGATGCCCCTATCACCCCCCGCAAGGCTGCGACACCTGCCGCAGATGTCTTGAAAAAAACAGATACCCTACACATTGCATCCCTTGCTAACTTCTGTGAGGTTCTCCTTGGTCCGCTGAGTGCTATAAAGCTGCAGCCAGCCTTCCAGAAGGTAGCGCATCAATTCTGATGCAGCCTGCCATCGCCCCCGGAAACGTAATGCACCCTCATTATGAGTGTAATGGACCAGATGGCTTATGTACGCTCATAACAAGGGTGCAAACTTTATTCAGGGGAACACAGTAGGTATACCTCATAGACTCCCCATTGGCACATGCTTTTTCACAGGATGGGGGGCTCCTACTCTCAGCGGGATGAGGGGGGACGAGGGGCCACCCAACCTCTTCACAACCGGTTATGAGGTCAACCTCACAAAGCTTGCGGTCGTCTTTCTAAAAGGGCGACAGCAGGGGTCCCCTGGGTAGGCGGAGTAGTGGTAGGTACGAGGTAGATAGTTAAAGGTGAAATTGAGAGAAGATTAGCTTAGTTTTATTTTATTTTATTAGTTAAAAAAAAAGGGCGACAGCCTTGAAGATATGATCACTATTGGCTAAGATCAAGTGTAGTATCTGTTCTGATCAGTCTAATATCTGATCCGTGGTCCATCGGGACGAAAAAAAAAAAAAAAAAAAAAAAAAAAGATATGATCACTGAACAGACTGGCCCAGGCAATTCAGTTTGATTTGAATCACCTCGATATTATCATCCGGTTGCATCCGGATTTGTAACGTGGGTCTGTATCTCAACAGGTCATGAGTGTACCAACTGAGATAGCACCAACGACCCACTCACAATTAGGCCAGTTGGTATTAGGCTTGCTTGCGGTCATCATGGCTGCTTAGAGAATCCACTGCACCGGGGGTTGCGTCCCACTAGCGGGGGGGGTTAAGACTTTGCTTCGAGCGCACACCGCTTCCTGCCATTAGATCTGAACATCTGACGGCCGAACTCTGGCCACGTTGCAAAACACTCTTAAGAACCTCAATCCCTCCCCCCCAAGTGGATCTTGGCCCCTGCTCTATCCAGCCAATTCTTCTTCGCATCCTTTTTTTTTTTTTTTTTTTTTTTTGCGGGGGAGAAGGGGAAGACTCCTTACCTTTCGCGCATCTGCTCCTACCCAGGGGCGAGTTCAAACTGGCAAAGATGATTCGATTAAGCTCCTCCTGAATCTGGATGTGTTTACATGCAGGGATGCAGAAATAATGCAGTTCAATCTCGATTTTTTCTGCACCTCCCCACAAAAACGTCCATATTCGGGCACTCAATCCAATCCTCTTCGTGAGTGGGACCTCGCCCCAGGAGTCCTGCTCATCTTTTCCTCATATCGTTCCAATTCGAATGGATTCCAGGAAAGATCGTTCCTTTATTATCTAGTTCATAACGGATCGTACCTTTCCTTGTTTAACTCTTCTATCTCCACTCTTCTTTCTCCATCATCAGATCTCCATAATGATCCGCTTTCCAAAGGCCATGGGCCTCGCCGCACCACTGTCGAAACGGAAAAAAGGACGAATGCTTTTTTTCCCGCGGAGAAGAGGAAGGATGAATTCGTTCCTCAGAATAGCAAAACAACGGCGGAAGCATCGACAGTGGTGTGGCGAGGCCCATGTCCCACTTCTCTCAAGGTTTGCCGCTCGATCTGAAAATCCCAGAGCCAGTGTGACCATGTCGCACAATACAACGAAACGTGAACCAACCCTCCCCTCGACAGTCATGGCCCCGGCATTTCCCTCGAATTCTTACCAAAGTGACTGAATCCACGTACAACCCATTTTCAAAGATCATGCCACGTGTTCAGGTCAGTCAAGTCCCCGATCGTTCGCGAGTAAGAGAACGTTACGACCCATGCAACCTGTATGATCACGGCTGTTCAGGCCACGCGGGCCTCGAACCCAGCTACAGGACGAGTCAATAATTCGTCTCTGTTGTACGGCCGACTTGTTCAGGCCAGTTAAGCCTGAGCGGTCGTCGAACCCACCCAAGTACCAGGATGGACTCGGGCATGCAACTGCATGGGAGAGCACCTTCCTTGCGCACGTGCCGATTTCACGTTAATCAGGCCACGTGGGCCTCGAATCCACCGCATGGGAGAGCACCTTCCGTGCGCACGTGCCTAATCACGTTGATCACGTGGGCCTCGAATCCACAACACATGGGAGAGCACCTTCCTTGCGCACGTGCCTATTCACGTTAATCAGGCCACGTCGGCCTCGAATCCACGTACAGGACGCGTCAATTCGTCTCGATTGTACGGTCTGCTTGCTCACGCCACTGTAACCTGATTGGACCTCGTCGAACCCACGTACGTGCAGCACGAGTCCATTACTTTTCGCTTGTACGGGGCCTCGAATCCACCGCATGGGGGAGCACCTTCCTTGCGCACGTCCCTATTCAGGTTTAATCATGCCACGTGGGCCTCGATTCCACGTACAGACGAGTCAATTAGTCTTCGCTTGCACGGTCCACTTTGATCAGGCCGCTGTGATCCGATTGGGCCTGAACCCACGTACAAGGTAATCACTCGTCCATGCAACCGCATGAGCTGGCACTTGCGGGCAACCTACCCATACCACGTGCCTATCCTTGCTTTTCCTCACAGCTGGGCGACATCATGCAGCTCGATGCAAAACAAAAAAGGCGGAAAAAACGACGTAACGACCGCGGCTACATGGGACGATCACACAGCAAAGAGTAAGCTGCACACGTACGTCATCACACACCTACACCTCCTCCGTGCGCATCTCGAAATGTGTTTGCGCACATGTCCTGGTCGTTGTTAACAGGCTGCTGGGAAGGAAAGACAGAAAAAGCAAGGTCACGACCGCGGCTACACGGCACGATCACTTCACAGCGCAAAGACTAAGCTGCAGACATACGTTATCGCACACCTACGCCGCCTCCGTGCGCACGTCGAAATGCGTTGCGCACATGTCCTGGTCGTTGTTGCCAGTGCGCACGTCCGAATGTGTTCCGCACATCCTGGTCCTTGTTGCACGGCTTGTGGGAGTCAAAACTGAAGTCAAATCGCTTCTCCCTCAAAACCCTGACATCGAGCAGCTCTAGGGAAAAAAGCAAAAACAGAAACGCGAAGTCACAACACGGCTGTCAGCACGATCACCTACACGGCAAAGAGTGGGCTACAAACTCCTCGGTGAGCACGCCACCCTTCTTCCCCCGAACACAACGTACAGTCATTATAGCTGTACTTGTGTATCTGTCAGTCCATTACAGCTATTACAACCGTACGTTATTTTCGGGAAAGAAGGGCGGGAATGTGTTGCTTTCGCAGAGGGGTCCAGCTCGTTGTTGCAAGGATTCTAGGAGGCGAATTGAAATTATTGAATTTATCGCCCAGCCAGAAACCAAGCCCCACCCCAGGATAGTGATCGAATGTCGAAAACGAGACGACGTTGCAGACTAACAATGGCAGGAATTGACAGCGGAACAAGAACCACCTGGATATCTGCCTCCACTAAGCTGGCAATTAATCGCCTCTTCCAGATTCAATTTGAATAACAGTTCTAAAACCATGTTTAATATTTGCCAACACAACCAAAGTAGATAACGACACCAAACAGTTAAATTCCATACAGACAAAAACACGTGACGCGTGGCTAAAGCCGGGAGGTTCATCACACCCTCCGCATGACATTCAAAGTCACCTCTCTCTCTCTCTCTCTCTCTCTCTCTCTCTCTCTCTCTCTCTCTCTCTCTCTCTCTCT